CATGGAACCCTTTTTTTTTTTTTTGGAAATCTCAGTAGTTCAGTTAATTGACTGACTATCTGAATTCTCGATTTCCCATGTTGTAATCCTCTACCCCAATTTTTTTATTACCTTCCTCACATATGTATAAGACCGAATCCAAATATCTAAGATGAGAGAATTTTGGGAGAGCCACCGACTCCAACTACTGCCATATATTATCCATATTAGATTTGACCAACTATCCATCCTACCCTCCTCTACGTTCTTGACAACCCATTTTTGTCTTAGTCAAGTCTTTTAGTGGCACGTTTTGATCCTCTTTTCAATTACTTAGAAAAAGTGAGTTATTATTCAGATACAAAATACTATCATTATCGCCTAAAAAATTAGACATTCAACCCGTAATCACAATGATCCAATTACAAAAGCTCCGAACCCCCTAGGTCTAGACTGGCTCTGGCCCTAGTTTTATCTCTTGACCTTCACATGAGTAAACTCGTTGATATAGAGGATTACAGTATTGATTTCTTTAAAAGAAAAAAACCTTAATTTAAGGTATGGAGGCCTAGAAAGGAAACACACGTTATATATGGAGCCTGTTCTGGCCTATACAGTATATATGTACATAAAATTTGGAGTATCTAAAGAACCACTGACAAATGGCTACGAAAGATCATATACAATTAAATTACAAGCCATTTGCAATCATCCTGCCACCTTAAGCAGAAAAAATGAAAACGAATAAAACAAACACTCACACATTTGGCTTCTGATTTGACATTTATTTCAGAGAACTGGCTAGTCCTCAGAACACCTTAACTACTCGCTGCAGAAAAAGAAAAAAAAGACGCAAAAAATGGAAAATAATATGTTAGATGTCCCATAATTAAGGAACAAGAGAACATTATAGCAAGAATGAGCATGCAGGTACGTATAAGAACTTACACATTATTGCGGCAAGAAGCAACTTCTTTCTCAAAGTCATCATCATCATCATCATCTTCATCTGTTGTCACACTATCGAAAATGCTTGCAACAAAAGATGAAAAATGAAATGTTACACTTCCCAAAATCAAGAATGAACATGCAAGTATAACAAGTTACAAAATATTGGAAGGATTCGAATCAATCACAATGACAGCATCAAGAACTTTTGTTGAATTGATGCAATTTGACTTACTAAAGCTATTATCCAGATTATTATCGAGTTTACTATGATGATGAGTTAAATATTGTTGTAAATCAAGGAAGAAGATGTCTTACAAAAGATTCACGAGTATGGACCTCGATAGAGCTTCCATAGTTGTCTTGAATGTCCTGTTGAATTTGCTTGGCGGAATTCCCAACAGATTGTTTACAGTCACTTATATCAATAAGAGCTAGTGTGGTTATATCTGCAAAATCTCGAGGGATTGAATCCAAAGAATAGCAATCTTTAAGAAAAAGTCGTTCAAGGTACGGAAAGTGATCACTACTAGCTCTCCAGTACCGAATGTATACTCTATCCAGAAACAAGAACTTTAAGTGAGGAAACCCTTCCTCAACTACTTCCCACTCCTCGCCTATGAAGGCATTGTCTGATAGTTTAAGGACCTCGAGTTTGGATAATTTACCAACAATGCTCAAATCCTTCCATGCCAAAGAAAATTTTCCCCTAAAAGTTAAACTCTTAAGGTTTTGTGGAAAAGCATCCGGAGGAGGTAAGAGTAAAGTTGGAACATCAGTTGGAGGTGCAGTTCCCCCGAAACGAGTCTGAAACCTCAGAGGATCTTGCGGAGTAGAACCTGAAGGTGCAGTGTTTTTTAGAAAGCAAGCAATAGGTGAATAATAAATACCAAATGTCAATTTCTCGAGCTGATATAAGTAGCGAAAATCATACAGGTCCTTGTGATTGCGAAAGTCCTCTGGGACGCCAAATACTTTCAACTTCTTTAAATTGGGAAATAGTCTAAAAAAAGACCCTGTACAATACCGAGGATTCAATTGATTGAGGCATTGCAAACTTTTCAAAACCAATCTGTTCTCTGTAGGCTCATGACTCTGCAAGTAATTCCAGCCCATATGCAGCTTCCTCAATTGTGGCATCGTCAAAATTTCCGATGGTAATATGAAAGGATAACTACTATTGGGAAATGGAAGGTAAAGTTTAAAAGTTTGCAGATAGCATAGGCTTGATATCGATAGAGGAATGTCTATTATTGATGAGGGAACAGCTTCTTTCGATCCTCGATACTGCTTTAAGCAAGGCTTAAAACACAAAGATAGGTATCTCAAATGAAATAGAGAAAGTACTCCACTGGGAAAAAATGGGCATATAGTCAAACCAAGATCTAGTACTCTTACTAGCTTGAAAGACAATGCCAGTGTGACGCATTTGAATCCACCCAACATGATAATAGAATGAGCCTCACTGCTACAACACCAAACCAATTTTTTCTCATTATGGATTCTGATCCGATTTCGACTCTTAAAGGAACACTGCATGGATTGTTCACATGAATTTTGATAACTCTTTCCTCTGATAACATTCACAAAATTCATGTTTCGAGCTTCCCTCAAACAGAGTTCACGGGTCACATCATGCATTCCACAACTTTCTATTGTTCCACGAAAACTAAAATTGTGGATGAAAATTAAGCTTCTATCTATAAGTTCATTTATACATGTTGTTGCCACCTCTTCTATGCTTTTTCCCTCTTCTTCATTCAAAAACCCCTCTACGGCCCATAATTCAACAAGTTTATTTACATAAATCTGTTCATCCTCTGCGAAAATTGCAAAATACAGAAAACACGGTTTTAGGTGAGAAGGCAAGTGATGGTAACTCAAAGCCAACACTCTCATGCACTTTGCTTCAAGATCTGTGCTTACCACTGAACTTACATTCTCCGCAACATATTGCCACACACCCAATGTTTTACTGATTTTGGAGAGAAGTCCAGCAATCACAGTAATTGCTAGAGGTAACCCTCCACATTTTAATGCAATTTGTTTCCCAATATTTTCAAATTCAGGAGAATAAGAACCTTCTTTTTCAAAGATCTTTTTGTGTAGTAAATTCCAACTTTCGTCAAAATTCATGAGGCGCATGTGATGAGGAGGCTTACCTGACCTAGCACATTCAGCCACTTCCACATTCCGAGTAGTCAGGAGTATTCTGCTTCCATTATAACAGTCTGGGAAACATAGTTTTATATCATCCCAAGCTTCTGTAGTCCATATGTCATCAATGACTACCAAGTATCTCCTGCCTTTCAGATGCTTCTGCAATCGGTCCGCTAGCTGATCATCAGGTTCATCACTTATCGAAGGAAGAAGGCCTAGGATTACATTTCTCACACAATACTCTTGTGAAACAGTTGCTTTTGCACGAATATCAAATCGAGACATAATGTAAGGATCACTATAGAGTTTTGTAGCCAAAGTTGTTTTCCCGATACCTCCCATCCCTACGATTGAGACAACTTCTAGTTCCCTTCCTCCTCTAGCAAGTTGATCCAGCATCATCTCAAATTCATTTTCACGGCCAACCATTATATTCTCGGGCTGCTCAACAGCATGTTCAGGTAAACTGACAAGTGAGCTAGTTTGTGGTTTTAGATCTTTCATGCTGTCCGATGCTGCCATCCACTGTTTCACGGTGGAAGCAATGCATTCTAGTGCTTGTTCCAAGACGAAAAAAATCTCCCACATAGCCCTGCTTCTTTCCTCCAAATTCTGTGCTAAAAAAACATTTCTTGATTCCGAGTCAACCATATCTTCTGTTGTGTATGCTACCTCTGCGATTTCAACTTCCAAGATTGTTAACCCCTCATGATCGCCCATTATATTGCAGGATTTCTCCAGAATAGCTCTCAAAGATTTGAGCTTTTCATAAAACGGTTGCAAATCACATCCAGTAAGTTCCATTGATTGATGTATGGTTCTCATAAGGGAAGTAACAGCAGCATAAGCCATATATCCAAAAAATAGAAATATCTCTCAGTATGAAAATGGACAAATTGCCACAAGTTATGTAATTTTTCAGTTTTTAAGAAAACAGAAAATGCAAAGTTCTTTCTTTTACTAGCTATTTCCATCACATTTCCAGCTAGGTCCACCAACCTTATCATCATGTAGACAAAAGCAGAGACCAAAGTTAAAAAAAAAAGAAAAAAGGCAGGACTCTAACAGGAAAAAGTAGAAAAAATTGTGACCATTCATTATTAGACCCTACACTTATCTATTCATGAATATAGGTATGTTTCTTACATACAAGAGATTGATGATTTTAATTCCATTGAAAGCAACTTCGTAGAATTTTCCAAATCAAAGAGAGAGAAATATTAAGATCCAAGTAGGAATTTCTCTATTCCTAGTTCGATTCAATTAACCAAGCATAAATATCTCTTTAAATATATATGAGAAGTTTAGACTCTAAAAGTCAAATCAACAAAATATTTATGGGCTAACACATGAAAAACTATTGAGAAAATTGCCTAATTTCTGTAAATTGGCCCTTAAATCTCCAAAATGGACTCTAAAAATTGTCAGACTGTACGTATTGCTCCCAACTCCCTACTAAGGGTTCTGTAATTTCGATTAGAATTCGCCCGTAAGTCATATCACCAATATATTAATGACTAACACACACGAAAAACTAAGAAAATTGTCTAATTTCTTGAAATTGGCCCCTAAATGCCTAAAATGGACTCTAAAAAATTGTCAGACTGTACGTATTGCTCCCAACTACCTACTAAGGGTTCTGTAATTTCGATTAGAATTCGCCCGTAAGTCATATCACCAAAAATATTAATGGGCTAACACACACAAAACACTGAGAAAGTCGCCTATTCCTGTAAATTGGCCCCTAAATGCCCAAAATGAACTCTAAAATTGTGAGACTATGTACTGCTCCACTAACTCCCTATGGAGGGTTCCGTAAAGATTTCACAAAGAAATTATTCGGAAGATATATCACCAAAATATTTATGGGCTAATACATTTTTATTTGTCCATTTGATTTGATATATCTTTCAAGTACTTTGATCCGGTTATACTTTTTTTTTATTGCTAAAAATAAATATCCACTTTTACTTGTTCATTCTACAAAACAAAGACAATATTTTATTGCTTGATTCAGATATAAAATTTGAGTAGGCTAATTTACAAACCATCTGTAGTCATCCTGCCCCTATGCTATAACATTTGAAAGAAAGAGGTCATCATCATCATATTCATCATCGTTGTCATCTTCATCTTCATCTTCATCATCATCTTCATCTTCATCATCATCTTCATCATCATCTTCATCTTCTTCATCATTATCATCATCATCATCATGATCGTCATCGTCACTTGTTTCCTCACTGTTGAAAAAGCCAGCAACAAAAGATGAAAAATGAAATGTTATGCAAGTATAACAAGTTACACAATTACTATATTGGAAGGATTTAAATCATATACAATGACAACGTATGAACTTTTACACTATAGGTGCCATTTAACTGCTTATTAAAGCAACTTATAATTATTTTATTACTAGTTCTGGACACATGCTTTGCATGTGTATATTACACGTTTAGTCACGATTGTAAGAGGGTGTACACCAGGATCATTCGAAGAGCAAAGTCGTGTGAGCCTTACAGATATTCTTGACGTACTCCTATTAAAATCTGTATCATAATATCTGATGAAATCAGCTACTGATCAGTCAAGCTCTCCATTGATGTAGACTTCAACTACACATGAGAAAGAATGAGAGAAGAAGAGAGAAGAGAAGAGAAGAAGAATCTAGAAGAGCAACATGAAAATTAATCTCTCATTGAATGTGAATTAAAACTACAAGAATTACAATGTGACTATATATATATAATCACTGGCAGAAATTAACTAACTAACAAACTTGATTCTAACTAACTCTACTGTACATAGATTCTAACTAACTCTACTGTACATAACCGACTCTACTGTACATAACTAACTAATTATACTTTATATTCTCATCACCCCCCCTCAAGTTGGAGGTGATGTAATTACAGACAACTTGTGCAATAAGGCAGTATGTTTAACTCCAGTCAGAGCCTTGGTGAAGATGTCTGCCAACTGTGAATCAGTGGGAATATGATGGAGTGTGATTAGGCCTTGTTGAAGCTTGGTCCTAACAAAGTGACAATCGATTTCTATGTGCTTTGTCCTCTCATGAAAAACTGGATTCTTTGCAATGTGGACTGCTGCTTGACTGTCACAATGGACAGGGATAGGTAAGGAGCATTGTACAGTCAACTCATCCAACAATCGTTCAAGCCACACTAGTTCTCCTACAACTTGTCTCACAGCTCTATATTCAGCTTCAGCAGATGACAAAGACACTGTTGCTTGCTTCTTAGACTTCCAGCTGACAGGACTATCACCCAGAAGCACTAGGTATCCACTAACAGACTTCCTGGAATCAGGGCAAGCAGCCCAATCAGAATCACAATAAGCACTGATAGTGAGATCAGGCTTGTTTGAGATAAAAATTCCCAATGTTGGATCCTGTTTCAAATATCTGAGCACATGGTATGCTGCTTTTAAATGTGGTTCCCTAGGTGATTGCATAAATTGGCTCAAGTGTTGTATACTATAAGCTATGTCCATTCTAGTGTTGGTCAAAAAATTTAGCTTACCAACCAACTTCCTGTATTGAGTAGGATCAGATAAAAGATTGCCATCTGTAGCTGTTAACTTCTCAGTGCAATCAAGTGGTGATGTAGTGGCCTTGTGACTTAACACATCAAAATCTTTCAGGAGATCAGAAGTGAATTTCCTTTGTGAAACTAGCACTCCATCATGTCTGTATAATATTTCCAGTCCCAGAAAGTAGTGTAGTTTGCCCAAATCCTTTATCTTGAACTGATCATTTAAGAAGCTCTTTAAGGAGTTGATTTCAGCCACATCTGTTCCAGTTAGAATTATGTCATCCACATATACAGCAACAAACACCAAGGAGCAGCCCTTCCTTTTGTAGAACAGTGAGTAATCACTGTCTGAGTGCTGATACCCTCTTGAACATAGACAGTTTGCCAACTTCTCATACCATTGCCTGCTGGCCTGTTTTAGTCCATACAAAGACTTCTTCAATTTGCACACCATGTTATCACAACCTACTACAAGACCTTGTGGAGGTGCCATGTACACTTCCTCATGCAAATCACCATGTAAGAATGCATTATTGACATCTAGCTGATACAAGCTCCAATCTTTCTTAACAGCTAAAGAGATTAATGTTCTAACAGTAGTCATTTTAACTACAGGTGAGAAGGTTTCAGTGTAATCTACCCCAACTTGTTGTGTATAACCTTTGACCACCAACCTACACCCCAGCTTGTTGTGTATAACCTTTGACCACCAGCCTAGCCTTGAACCTCTCCACACTCCCATCAGCTTTGTGCTTGATTTTGTACACCCACTTGCACCCAATAGCTTTCTTCCCATCAGGTAACATGACCATCTCCCAAGTGTCATTAGCATACAAAGCTTCAAACTCCTGTGTCATGGCCTGCTGCCAGGCAGGGTGCAATATTGCTTCCTCAAATGAAATAGGCTCACATTCATGTGAAATGGTTGTTACTAACTGCTGACTATCAGAACAAAGACTGGTGAAACATACATGTTTATGGGGAGATATAAAGGAAGTGAGGGAGTGCAGCTTAGGTATAGTGTAGGTGTATTCTTTTAGGTAATTAGGAGTGTGTATGGTTCTGGTTGTTCTTCTAGGTGCTGATATTGTAGGTACTGGTAAAGTATCATGATGCATGGTGGCATTTGGATCAGGTAAGGTAGGTTGAGTTGTAGTAGGTTGAGTTGTAGGTTCATGTAGGACAGCAGGTGGTACTTCATTCATGTTGGTATTACTGGTTACTTGATTATTAGTGACTTCATGTGGTGTGAAATTTTCCAGTTGATCATCATTAGCAAAAATGTTCATTTTACCAGACATACAAGGCATGCTAGTGGTATGAGTAAGCATTTGCAGAATGGAATTGAAACTAGAACCATCAGGGGCAATAACAAAAGGAAAAATATTTTCTTGAAAAATAACATCTCTTGATATATGAACTTTCTTGGTAGCTAAATTCAAAACTTTGTAACCTTTTGTATTGAAAGGGTAACCAACAAAAACATGAGGTGTGGTTCTAGGTTCAAATTTATCTTTGTGAGTTTTCAAGGTAGTGGGGAAACAAAGACAACCAAAACTCTTAAGGTGGGAATATGTAGGTGATTTATGGTACAACATTTCATATGGAGATTTATTCTGTAAAAGTTGAGTGGGCAGTCTATTAATCAGGTATGTGGCAGTCAATACACATTCCCCCCAGTACCTCATAGGCAACTTTGACTGAAACAAAAGTGCCCTTGCTGTTTCAAGTAGGTACTTATGTTTCCTTTCTACCACCCCATTTTGTTGAGGTGTATAAGGACAAGTTCTTTGGTGTATGATACCTTGTTTTGGAAGAAATTTGTGGCTTCAGCTGAAGTAAACTCTAACCCATTGTCAGATCTTATGGCTTTTTAACTTGGTTTGGAATTGGTTTTCTATGAGAGATATGAAGGCTTTGATAGTTTGGAGAGCATTACTCTTACATCTCAGCAATTGTGTCCAAGTGGACCTACTGTGGTCATCTACCATAGTGAGGAAATAATGATATCCATCATGAGTGGGAACATGATATGGTCCCCATAGGTCAACATGTAACAACTCAAACACTTTAGTGGTGGTGGTGATACTTTCTGGAAAAGGCATCCTAGTTTGCCTAGCCATAGGGCATATATTGCAAGTAAAAGGCTGTTTAGGAGAAAAATGAACAGGTATAGTTGAGATATTTTTCATTTTTACAAAAGGTACATGTCCTAATCTAGCATGCCACAAAAGTTCATCATCATGAGTGTGATTAGAGACATTTGTAAATGAAGGACAAGCATGAGTAAAACAAGAGGAAGGAAAAACAGTACAATCTGCCTTATTCATAGGAGAGTATTTTACAGAAGAACCAGTGGACACATTAGAATCTGAAACCCTGCTAGTATTGCCTAAAGAAGAGACAAGAGGACAATTAACATGAGGTGCTTTACTCTCAGCAGATGGACAACAATTGTGGCATTTGTGACACAAGAAGTACAGGCCATTCTTGGCTTTACCAAGTTCCAGAGGGCTCTTCAGAGAAGGGCCCTGCAGCAAACAAGAAGATTTGTCAAAGCTGACTACACCATTGAATTGTAGTGCTAAACAATGAACAGAAATGAGATTAAACTTGAAGCTAGGTACAAACAACACTTTGCTTAGAGTCAAAGCTGGATTTAAACAAGCATCACCAATTTCAGTCACTTTAACCTTGTAACCATTAGGGAGTGAAATTAGAAAGGGATATGGAAGTGAAATGATGTTTGTGAGGGTGGTCTTATCATAGGTCATATGGTGTGATGCTCCTGAATCTATGATCCAAGAGCCAGCAGTCAGTTTAACACATTTACAAGAAAGATCACCTATATCAGTAATAGAGGAATAACATGCAAGTATACCTGCCAAGTTCACAGCTCCATTCAGCATGTTGTTTGAGTTGTCTGAGGCTCCATTTCCAACTTGTAAAGTTCCCAGGAGATTGAGTAGTTGTTCATATTGATCTTTGGACAAGTTCAATGGCATTTGTCTCCTTACTTCAGGTTCCTCTTCAGATTGAACTCCATTCATATCAGGGGCACACACATTTGCTGCAGCTTTTCCCTTTTTGAACCTTGGATTTGGATTGGATGGGTATCCATGAAGCTTGTAACATCTATCCTTTGTGTGTCCTGATTTCTTACAGTAGTCACAAAACAAAGAAGACTTGCCAGTGCTAGAATTGCCTCTAAACCCAGTATTACCAGAATTGGTTCCACCTCCTCCAGATGAACTGTAGTTTGTCCGGAATCCCCTGTATCCTGCACTGCTGTTGGTCTGTCCATAAGCATTGAGAGAGGTAGAATCCAAGGCTGTATGATTATGAGGCTTCACCTCCCTTTGTTTTTCCTCTTGGGATAATATGGCAAAAGCTTGAGCCATGCTTGGAAGTGTGTTCATCATGAGAATGCTGCCTCTGACAGTCGTATATATCTCATTCAATCCCATTAGAAAATGTATCAATCTTCTGTCTTGTTCAGCCTTGTGTAATTTGCTTTTACCCCCACAAATGCACACACAAGTACACTGAGAATTGACATCAATGGTACTCATTTCCTCCCACAACTTCTTCATTCTTGTGTAATATCCAGTGATGTCTAAAGTGCCTTGGACCAGATCATTAATTTCCTTCTGCAGTTGATACAATTTACACCCATTGGTTTGATCGTACCTTTCTTCTAGTTCTCCCCAAAGCTCCTGAGCATTATTGACATACTGCAGACTATCACGCAAATCTGGTGACAAGGAATTCAGGATCCAAGATGTGACCATATCATCACACCTTTCCCATTGCTGAAAGCTAGGATCAGTAGGATCAGGTCTCACAACCTTCCCATTAATGAATCCTGTCTTGCTCTTAACAGATAAAGCCCTGAGAACTGCTCTTCTCCAGGATCTGTAACCAGTTCCATCAAAAACTGCAGGTAATAGGGATGAACTTGCATTCTCAGATGGATGCAAGTAGAAAGGACTAGGGATTTCTACCCTAACAGTGGATGCAGAAGCATTTGGAATGGAATCATTTGAAGAATCGACCATTGTGAATTGAAAATTGGGAAGAAGATCAAGTCGAGAACAACCAGATCAAACAGCGTTCACAAACAAAATTGACAGATCGAAGATCCAGTCGAGATCAACCAGATCAAAGAAAAAATTCACATAAGAGAAAACGAAGCTCACAGATTGAATTGGAAACAAAAAAAAACAGGAGCAATTCCCTGTGCTTTGATACCATGATGAAATCAGCTACTGATCAGTCAAGCTCCTCCATTGATGTAGCTTCAACTCACATGAGAAAAGATGAGAGAAGAAGAGAGAAGAGAAGAGAAGAAGAATCTAGAAGAGCAACATGAAAATTATCTCTCATTGAATGTGAATTAAAGAAGTGAGTATTACAATGTATCTGTATATATACACAATCACTAAGCAACTAATAATCATTGGCAGAAATTAACTAACTAACAAACTTGATTCTAACTAACTCTACTGTACATAACCGACTCTACTGTACATAACTAACTAATTATACTTTATATTCTCATCAATATCCCTTTTTTCAAATTTCATAGCTGAACTACTAGGTGTGCGAGTTCCTACCAGAACTATTACCAACTATTTATCAAAACACACATCAACTATATATGAGTTGTTCCCTTTTACTAGTGGTGAAAAATAGGTGGATTTGGACGGGACTGAAAATGGATTGAGCAACATGGTCGTAACTCACTTTAATCTCTTAAAGCCAGAAAACTTTAAAGAGTTAATTGAAATAAACTTAATGACTATCCTACTTGAAGTATCACCATCGTTCAGGTAAGAAAAAGGAAGTAAATCAAGGAAGACGATGTCTTACAAAGCCTGATGGATATGGACCTCGATAGAACCTCCATAGTTGTCTTGAATGTCCTGTTGAATCTGCTTTGCGGAATTCCCAACAGATTCTGGGCAGTTTCTTATATCAATTAGAGCAAGTGTGGTTATATCTGCAAAATCTTGAGGGATTGAGTCCAAAAACCTGCAACTATCAAGAAATAGTCGTTCAAGGCACGGAAAGTGATCACAACTAGCTCTCCAGTACTGAATATGTGATCTTTTAAGTAACAAGAACTTCAAAAAAGGAAACCCTTCCTCAGCTACTTCCCACTCCCTGCCTCTGCATACACCCTGTGTTAGTTCAAGAAGTTCAAGTTTGGGCAATTTTCCGACAACAATGCTTAAATCCTTCCATGACAAGAAGAAATTTCCTGTAAAAGTTAAATTCTTAAGGTTTCGTGGAAAAGCATCTGGAGGAGGTAAGATCAAAGATGGAACAACTTCTACAACAAGTGGATTCCTTGTCTGAAAACACATTCTCCTCTCCAAAAAGTAAGCATTATTTTGAGGAGGAAGACAAAATGCTAGTTCCTCGAGATGATCTAAGTAGCGAAAATCATAGAGGTCTTTGTGACTATGGAAGTCTTGTGGGATGCCACGTACTTGCAACTCCTTTAAATTGGGAAATAGTCTAAAGAAAGATGCAGTACAATAGCTAGGATTCCATCCAAACAGAGAATGTAAATTTTTCATAACCAAACTTTTCTCTGTAAGCTCATGATATCGCAAGTAATTCCGATCCAAATGAAGGTGCCTCAACTGTGGCATAGTCAAAATTTCTGATGGTAATATCAAAGCATGTTTACGAAGATTAATAACGAGTGGAAGGTAAAGTACCAAACTTTGCAGATAGCATAGGTTTGATATGGATGTAGGAATGTCTACTCTTGATGAGAGAACATCTTCTTCGGATCCTAGATATTGCTCAACGTTAGGATAAATACGCAAAGCTAGGTGTCTTAAGTGAATCAAATAAAGTATTTCACGGGGAAAAGTTAGACAGATATTATCAGCAAGATCTAGAACTCTTACTAGCTTGAACGGCAAGTACTCCCTCATGCAACATCGGAATCTACCAAATAAGATAACAGAATGAGCTTCACTGTTAAGGCACCTAACATACTCTTTCTTATTATGGATGCTGATTCGACCTCGACTCTTAGACAAACACTGCATAGATTTCACACATGGATTTTGATCATTCTTACTTCCGAGAACATTCACAAAATTCATGTTACGAGCTTCCATCATACAGAGTTCACGAGTCGTATCATGAATTCCACAACACTTAATTTTTCCATCAAAAGTAGTACTTTCTATGGAAATTAAACTTCTATCAATAAGATCTTGTAGGTACTTTTCTGCCACTTCTTCTATGCTTTTCATCTCTTCTACCTTCAAAAATCCCTCTGTTTCCCACAATATCATAAGTTTATTGACAAAAATCAGTTTATCCTCTGGGAAGATTGCGAAATATAAAAAGCATGGTTTTAGGTGGTGAGGCAAGTAATGGTAACTCATTGCCAACACCCTCATGCATTGGACACCAACATCTGTGCTTACTGCTGAACTTACATTTTCAGCAACACTTTGCCACTCACTCAATGCTTTGTCAATTTTAGTGAGAAGTCCCGCGATCACAACAATTGCTAGAGGCAATCCTCCGCATTTCAATGCAATTTGCTTTCCAAGTTGTTCATATTCAGGGGAGAAAGAGTCTTTCGTAAAGACTTTTTCATACAATAAACTCCAACTTTCGTCAAAATTCATGAGGCGCATGTGATAAGGAGGCTTACCTGAGCTAGCATATTCAGCCACTTCCACATTCCGAGTAGTCAAGAGTATTCGGCTTCCATTATGAAAGTCTGGGAAACATATTTGTATATCATCCCAAGCTTTTGTAGTCCATATGTCATCAATGACTACCAAATATCTCTCACCTTTTAGAAGCTTTTGTAGTCGATCTGCTAGTTGCCCGTCATGTAGCTGATCATAAGGTTTATCACTTATACAAGAAAGAAGGTCTAGGAAAACATTTCTCACACAATACTCTTGTGAAACAGTAGCTTTAGCACGAATGTCAAAACGATACATCATGCATGGATCGTTGTAGAGTTTCGTAGCCAAAGTTGTCTTGCCAATGCCTCCCATACCTACAATTGATACAACTGCTAGTTCTCTTTCTCCTCTAGCAAGTTGATCCAGCATCATCTTGAATTCATTTTCATAGCCAACCATTATATCCTCGGACCGCTCAACAGCACGTTCAGGTATCTTGGATAGACAAAAATTTTGTGCTTTGAAATCTTTAAAGTTGTTGTACCAGTCCCATATTGCCAACCACTGCATCATGAAGGAATCAATGCATTCTACCTCTTGTTCCAAGGAACAACAGAGTTCCCAGAAAGCTTTGCTTCGTGTAATTACAGTTTCTGCGGAAGAAACTTTTCTTGATTTCGAATCAACCATGTCTTCTGCTTTGTATGCTACCTCCGCGATTTCAACTTCCAAGGTTGTTAACCCCTCATGATCTCCCGTTATATTGCAGGATTTCTCCATAATAGCTCTCAAAGATTCAAGCTTTTCATAGAATGGTTGCAAATCACATCCAGTAAGTTCCATTGACTGGTGTATGGTTCTCATAAGGGAAGTAACAGCAGCATAAGCCATATATCCAAAAAATAGGAATCTCTCACACTCAGTATGAAAATGGACAAATTAATTGCCACAAGTTATGTAATCTTTCTTTTACTAACTATTTCCATCACATTTCTAGCTAGGTCCACTAACAGGTAAAGTAGAAAGATGTGAGGTCCCTAACCTTATCATCATGTAGACAAAAGAAGAGACCAAAGTTTTTAAAAAAAAGACAGGAAAAAGTAGAAAAATTTGTGATCATTCATTATTAGACCCTACACTAATCTCTTTAGAAAAATAAACTAAAATTTTAGTTTAAATAAAGGAGTTCAAGCTGTATATTGATAACGCCCAATTCAAATTCAAGTGTAGTACGGTCTAGCAATAATAAACTCAACAAATGTTGGGGTCGAGGAGTATGCTTGTGTCAAGGTGACAGAGAATGCGAATTTGCGAATTTCCTAAGCTTATCTACAAATAAAAGGTCTTTCTTTTAGCTAGGTCCATAATCCATGTAGTGCTCTCTACTCTCTAGTCTCTATCAACCAACTCAAGTTTAAGGGTGTGTTTGGTATGGAGGAAACATTTTCTCTAGAATAGGGAGAGTTTTGTGCATAAACAAAGAAGAATATCTCAGTATAACAGTGAATGTGTATTTTTTTTATGATTTGCTTCATTTGAGTATGACTTTTGTAAGAAAATTCTGGTAAAAGTTTAAAAAATGATCTTGTGGAATAAGCACAGTGAATTCCTTAATATTCGAGTAGAAAAAGCCAGGGAGGATAACATTGCTATTTGTACACTTATCGTGACACGAGTAGTCTCTTAAATATTACACCTTTCTACTGGTGTTGCTGGTGCCACTGAATTTAGCCTTCCGTCTTCCTTTGCGAGGTAGATTGAGGACTCCCAAGAAAGGAAACACAAGGTACTGGAGTCTGTTCCGGCCTCTACAGTATGTATGTACATAAAATTTGGAGTAACTAAAAAACCACTGACAAATGGCTATACGAAAGATCATATACAATTTAATTACAAGCCATTTGCAATCATCCTGCCCCTTTATGCAGAATCTTTTCAAAGAAAATGAAAACAAACACTCACACATTTGGCTTCTGATTGACATTTATTTCAGAGAACTGGCTAGTCCTCAGAACACCTTAACTACTCGCTGCAGAAAAAAAAAGACGCAAAAAATGGAAAATAATATGTTAGATGTCCCATAATTAAGGAACAGGAGAACATTATAGCAAGAATGAGCATGCAGGTATAAGAACTTACACATTATTGCGGCAAGAAGCAACTTCTTTCTCAAAGTCAATATCATCATCTTCATCTATTGTTACACTACATCGAAAATGCTTGCTACAAAAGATGAAAAATGAAATGTTACACTTCCCAAAATCAAGAATGAGCATGCAAGTATAACAACTTACACAATATTGGAAGGATTCGAATCAATCACAATGACAGCATCAAGAACTTTTGTTGAATTGGTGTAATTTGACTTACTAAAGCTATTATCCAGATTATTATCGAGTTTACTATAATGATGAGTTAAATATTGTTGTAAATCAAGGAAGAAGATGTACTTACTAAAGATTACGAGTATGGACCTCGATAGAGCTTCCATAGTTGTCTTGAATGTCCTGTTGAATTTGCTTGGCGGAATTCCCAACAGATTGTTGACAGTAACTTATATCAATAAGAGCTAGTGTGGTTATATCTGCAAAATCTCGAGGGATTGAATCCAAATAATAGCAACTTCTAAGAAAAAGTCGTTCAAGGTACGGAAAGTGATCACTACTAGCTCTCCAGTACCGAATGCATACTTCATGCAGAAACAAGAACTTCAAGTGAGGAAACCCTTCCTCAACTACTTCCCACTCCTCGCCTATGAAGGATTTCCATGATAGTTTAAGGACCTCGAGTTTGGGTAATTTACCAACAATGCTCAAATCCTTCCATGCCAAAAAGAATTCTCCGCTAAAAGTTAAACTCTTAAGGTTTTGTGGAAAAGCATCCGGAGGAGGTAAGCGTAAAGTTGAAACATCAGTTGGAGGTGCAGTTGCCCTGAAAGGTAAGAGTAAACTTGTATAAAGTTGAACAACTAGCCACATGAGTCCTACATGACACAATACACATAAGACACCAACTATTTCCATCACATTTCCAGCTAGGTCCACTAACAGGATAAAGTAGAAAGATGTGAGGTCACTAACCTTATCATCATGTAGACAAAAGAAGAGACCAAAGTTAAAAAAAAAAAAGACAGGAAAAAGTAGAAAAATTTGTGATCATACATTATTAGACCCTACACTAATCTCTTTAGAAAAATAAGTTTCAATAAAGGAGTTCAAGCTGTATATTGATAACGTCCAATTCAAATTCAAGTGTAGTACGGTCTAGCAATAATAAACTCAACAAAAGTTGGGGTCGAGGAGTACACTTGTGTCAAGGTGACAGAGAGTGTTCTGGCCTATACAGTATGTATGTATGTACATAAAATTTGGAGTATCTAAAGAACCACTGACAAATGGCTATACGAAAGATCATATACAATTAAATTACAAGCCATTTGCAATCATCCTGCCACCTTATGCAGAAAAAATGAAAATTCTGATTTGACATTTATTTCAGAGAACTGGCTAGTCCTCAGAACACCTTAACTACTCGCTGCAGAGAAAAAAAAAAGACACAAAAAATGGAAAATAATATGTTAGATGTCCCATAATTAAGGAACAAGAGAACATTATAGCAAGAATGAGCATGCAGGTATAAGAACTTACACATTATTGCGGCAAGAAGCAACTTCTTTCTCAAAGTCATCTTCATCTGTTGTTATATCGAAAATGCTTTCTACAAAAGATGAAAAATGAAATGTTACACTTCCCAAAATCAAGAATGAACATGCAAGTATAACAAGTTACACAATATTGGAAGGATTCAAATCAAACACAATGACAGCATCAAGAACTTTTGTTGAATTGGTGCAATTGGACTTACTAAAGCTATTATCCAGATTATTATCGAGTTTACTATGATGATGAGTTAAATATTGTTGTAAATCAAGGAAGAAGATGTCTTACAAAAGATGACGAGTATGGACCTCGATAGAGCTTCCATAGTTGTCTTGAATGTCCTGTTGAATTTGCTTGGCGGATTTCCCAACAGATTGTCGACAGCTACTTATATCAATAAGAGCTAGTGTGGTTATATCTGCAAAATCTGGAGGGATTGAATCCAAATCATAGCAATTTCTAAGAAAAAGTCGTTCAAGGTACGGAAAGTGATCACTACTAGCTCTCCAGTACCGAATGTATATGTTATCCAGAAACAAGAACTTCAAGTGAGGAAACCCTTCCTCAACTACTTCCCACTCCTCGCCTATGACGGCATTGTCTGATAGTTTAAGGACCTCGAGTTCGGGTAATTTACCAACAATGCTCAAATCCTTCGATGCCAAAAAGAATTCTCCGCTAAAAGTTAAACTCTTAAGGTTTTGTGGAAAAGCATCCGGAGGAGGTAAGAGTAAAGTTGGAACATCAGCTGGAGGTGCAGCTTTCCCGAATTGTGTCTTTTTGTACAATAATTTCGTCTGAAACCTCAGAGGATCTTGCGGAGTAGAACCTGAAGGTGCAGTGCTTTCTAGAACGCAAGCAGCACCTGGATAATAAACACGAAATGCCAATTTCTCGAGCTGATATAAGTAGCGAAAATCATACAGGTCCTTGTGATTGCGAAAGTCCTCTTGGACGCCAAATACTTTCAACTTCTTTAAATTGGGAAATAGTCTAAAAAAAGACCCTGTACAATTCCGAGGATTCAATTGATTGAGACATTGCAAACTTTTCAAAACCAATCTGTTCTCTGTAGGCTCATGACTCCGCAAGTAATTCCAGCCCATACGCAGCTTCCTCAATTGTGGCATCGTCAAAATTTCCGATGGTAATATGAAAGGATAACTATCGGTAAATGGAAGGTAAAGTTTAAAAGTTTGCAGATAGCATAGGCATGATATCGATAGAGGAATGTCTATTATTGATGAGGGAACAGCTTCTATCGATCCTCGATACTGCAGTAAGCAAGGATTAAAACACAAAGATAGGTATCTCAAATGAATTAGAGAAAGTACTCCACTGGGAAAAATTGGGCATGGAGTCCAACCAAGATCTAGTACTCTTACTAGCTTGAAAGACAATTCCAGTGTGATGCAATTGAATCCACGCAACATGATAATAGAATGAGCCTCACTGTTACGACACCAAGCCAATTCTTCCTCCTTATAGATACTGATCCGACTTCGCTTCTTAAAGGAACACTGCATGGATTGTGCACATGAATTTTGATCACTCTTTCCTCTGATAACATTCACAAAATTCATGTTTCGAGCTTCCCTCAAACAGAGTTCACGGGTCACATCATGCATTCCACAGCTCTGTATTTCCCCATCAAAACTCAATTTGTGGATAGAAATTAGACTTCTATCTACAAGTTCGTTTATACATGTTTCTGCCACCTCTTCTATGCTTTTTCCCTCTTCTTCATTCAAAAACCCCTCTACGGCCAATAACTCAACAAGTTTATTTACAAAAATCCGTTCATCCTCTGCGAAAATTGCAAAATACAGAAAACACGGTTTTAGGTGAGAAGGCAAGTGATGGTAACTCAAAGCCAACACTCTCATGCATTGTGCTTCAGGATCTGTGCTTACCACCGAACTTACATTCTCCGCAATTCTTTGCCACTCATCTAATCTTTGACCGATTTTGGAGAGAAGTCCAGCAGTCACAGTAATTGCTAGAGGTAATCCTCCACATTTTAATGCAATTTGTTTCCCAATATTTTCAAATTCAGGAGAATAAGAACCTTCTTTTTCAAAGATCTTTTTGTGTAGTAAATTCCAACTTTCGTCAAAATTCATGAGGCGCATGTGATGAGGAGGCTTACCTGAACTAGCATATTCAGCCACTTCCACATTCCGAGTAGTCAGGAGTATTTTGCTTCCATTAATACAGTCCATATGTCATCAATGACTACCAAGTATCTCCTGCCTTTCAGATGCTTTTGCAGTCGGTCCGCTAGTTGATTCTCAGGTTCATCACTTATCGAAGAAAGAAGGCCTAGGATTACATTTCTCACACAATACTCCTGCGAAACAGTTACTTTTGCACGAATATCAAATCGAGACATAATGTAAGGATCACTATAGAGTTTTGCAGCCAAAGTTGTTTTCCCGATGCCTCCCATCCCTACGATTGAGACAACTTCTAGTTCCCTTCCTCCTCTAGCAAGTTGATCCAGCATCATCTCAAATTCATTTTCACGGCCAACCATTATATTCTCGGGCTGCTCAACATCATGTTCAGGTAAACTGACAAGTGAGCTAGTTTGTGGTTTTAGATCTTTCATGCTGTCCGATGCTGCCATCCACTGTTTCACGGTGGAAGCAATGCATTCTAGTGCTTGTTCCAAGACGAAAAAAATCTCCCACATAGCCCTGCTTCTTTCCTCCAAATTCTGTGCTAAAAAAACATTTCTTGATTCCGAGTCAACCATATCTTCTGTTGTGTATGCTACCTCTACGATTTCAACTTCCAAGATTGTTAACTCCTCATGATCGCCCGTTATATTGCAGGAATTCTCCAGAATAGTTCTTAAAGATTCGAGCTTCTGTGTATGCTACCTCTACAATTTCAACTTCCAAGATTGTTAACTCCTCATGATCGCCCATTATATTGCAGGATTTCTCCAGAATAGCTCTCAAAGATTTGAGCTTTTCATAAAACGGTTGCAAAATCACATCCAGTAAGTTCCATTGATTGATGTATGGTTCTCATAAGGGAAGTAACAGCAGCATAAGCCATATATACCAAAAAATAGAAATATCTCTCAGTATGAAAATAGGACAAATTGCCACAAGTTATGTAATTTTTCAGTTCTTAAGAAAACAGAAAATGCAAGGTTCTTTCTTTTACTAGCTATTTCCATCACATTTCTAGCTAGGTCCACCAACCTTATCATCATGTAGAAAAATTTGTGATCATTCATTATTAGACCCTACACATATCTATTCATGAATATAAGTATGTTTCTTACATACAAGAGATTGATGATTTTAAGAGCCTGTTTGGATGGACTTTTAAGCTGGTCAAACTGACTTAAAAGTCAGTTTTTGACTTATTAGAGTGCTTGACAATTAGCAAAGTGACTTATTTTAAGTCAAAAATGACTTATTTTAAGCCAAAAGCTAAAAGCTAAAAGCTAGGTGAGGGGAGTTTTTTTTTTTTTTTAAAACTTAAAAGCCCTTTTATGTTGACCAAGTATATTACCTTTTTGCCCTTAATTCTTTTATACAATTTCCAAATTGCCCATATTGAATTATTATTATTTTATTATTATTATTATTATTATTATATTATTATTATTATTCAACTGCAACACTTTTATCCAAACACATAACTACTTATTTTAAAAATAAGTTCCAGCACTTTAAAAAGTTACTTTTTAAAAGTTACTTTTTTTAAGTCAATCCAAACGGGCACTAATTCCATTGAAAGCAACTTCATAGAATTTTCCAAATCAAAGAGAGAGAAATATTAAGATCCAAGTAGGAATTTCTCTATTCCTAGTTCGATTCAATTAACCAAGCATAAATATCTCTTAATATACATGAGAAGTTTAGACT